ATACAAGAAATATGGTAAGAGCAGTTTCTGCCACTTACTGGAGAAACCCAAAGTCAAGTCTGCAGACATCTAGAAGGGAGAAGAACAAGGAGCAAGCTCAGCTACCTAGCTGGTGCCATCAGTTCCTAAAGTAGTGTGCGCTCGCCAGCATGGCAGTTCACTTCACCATACAGGTGACTCGAGTCATCTTGTTTCTGTCGATACTTGGGGTGAACACAACAGTGGATTCACAGGAACCTTGTCAATAAGGAAACCATCCTGCACCAGTTAAACAGAGTCAGAGAAGAGGGTGCTGGAGCTCCCCGGTAGGCCCTCCATAAGCTGTGTGAGTTGATCATATGTGGAATCACAGGCCTGGGAGGCATCACAGGAGTTCATATCTAGTCCAGCCTCATGCTCAAGGCAGCACTGTCCCTGACTCAACCAGCCAAGCATTGGTCTAAAACTTGATTGGCATTAACTTCAGTGTATATATTTTATTTCTCCCATAAGCCCCTTGCTGCATGTGATGAACAAGAGCGAGTGAGTGAATGAGGCCAAGCTAGGATGGTGGGGTATGAGAAGAAAAGATGAAATCCTGGCTCTGGCCATGCAGGTGGAACTTGAAGGAGGGCTAGGAATGTGGGGTGGGAAGTTGTCTGCCCTCAAGTCCATCTGGTGACTGGTGTCCTTATTCAGGGACGAATCTGATGGAAAAAGAGGAAATGCTTGAAATACAGAGCCTTATATTGGGTGGTCAAGGCCCAGAGCACTGTGATGTGAGGCTTGCCTCCATTCGTGGGATGGTTCCTGGCTGATATTCATATTTAGCAGCTTTATCCTCTGTGAATGCGAACGTTGTATGCAATGGATGGCTTTGGCTTATCCCCTTCGTTGCCCCCCGCTTCACTTGGAGCATGGTCCCAGGGGTGATCTGGTCATTCTGTTGCTCTCTCTCTCTCAGGGCATTTATAGCTGTTTCAGTGGAGTCCAGAATTTGGAGAGCCCCGTCCGCGTTCACACACCAGACGTCACTGCTAACTCAGCTCAGGCCAACGTGCTGAAGATGCTGCAGGCTGCCAAGGACATGGTATCGACCGCCAGCGTTGGGAGCTCCCTGGAGAATGCCACGCGCACCATTGAGAACTGGACCAACCGGAGCGAAAACCTGCAGACCACGTTCTCCCTCAGGACCCCTCAGCTCGTCGTGCAGAACAGCAGTGGGTTGAACAGGCCCACCAACTCCTCCAACGTGGCAGCTGCAGAGAAGCTGGGGCAAGCCTACGCCCAGAGGGCCATTCCCCAACCCCTCCCTGCCCCTCAGCAGTCCTTTGTGGACTCCCGGCTGTCAGCCAGTGAGAAATGGAGGGGCATAACCAAGCAGCCTCAGTTTCTGCAACCCCTGAAGTTTCGAGGAAGCTGCTCTGGGGATAAAGCTCTTCCAGGTTCCACCGTGAGCAGCTTCCCCCACCTCCTGGTGAAGACCACCCCTCCAGTCGAGTGTAGAAACCACGTGCTGCTGGGGAACCACGTGAGCACGACTCTCTCACCACAGAAGCCTCCAAGGGAGCTTCCTCCACCAGACATCTACAAAGAGCACAAGCGCTCAGGGGCCAGGGGGGCCGGAAAGGAGACCCTCCCCCAGAACATTCCCCTGGGGTACAGGGAAGACGGACACAGGGAAGCAACCCCCTTTGCAAGGCTGCTTTCCGAGAAGAGGAAAGGCATGGAAAGCCCTTTCTTGCCTTCCTCTTGCACCCATGACTCCTTCCCAAAAGTAGATAGGACTTGCAGACCTTTAGCAACAGCATGCAAAGAGTCGGAAGCAGCAAATCTTCCTCTGCTGAGGAAGGAGAAGCTGGGCCGGAGAGCTAATCTGTTGCGTTCTGCCTGGGAGCAGAATGAGAAACGCCATTCCCTGGGCCTGCAGAGGCACGATGGCAAATCATCCGTGCAAGGCGACATACCGGACCTCTTTCCCAGAGCCACTCTGAAGCAGATGCCGATGCCCAGTGTTCAGCACTATCCTGCTGAAGCCCTTCAGCCCAGCTACGTGTGCAATAGGAAATGCACAGAGGCAAACCCCAGGCTCTCCTGGGAGGGCCAGCGACTTGTCCATTCTCAGCCGGCCAGGCTGCCCTCCTACAGGGAAGCGTGCCTACAGCATGCCGCAGGCCTGCACCGGGCCTCTTCCACGGTGGTGCACAAACAATACGCCTACATGAACTCCTATACCAACCTGCCTGTGTGCTTGGGGCAGTTCTGCCAGGGGGCTCCCCTGCTCTGCGAACACTCCAGTGCCGGGTGCGTCACTCGGGCTCCCTGGTCGCCTGGAAGCAGGGACTACTTGGTCCACGAGGACAGCCGGAGGACCATGTACTTTGACAGTGTATACAGAGACTGCAGAGGTCGAAGCAGAGTGGAACCAGCCTTTCTCCAGATGGTCAATATGGAGAAGAGGGACCTATTGGCAGCCCAGCGAATGAACAGCCCCTACCCTGCCAGGTCTTGGAGACGAATCTCTAGCCTGGAGTCGGAGGTGTGAGAGTGGGGAGGGGGGTGGGGGGTGGGCAGGGTTAGGACTGTCTGTGCTTGGCTCATATCTGTACTGCTCACACGCACATCTTTGAGATGACAGATTCTGGTTCAACCCTTGGGGAAAAGGCCCATGCGGGAGCCTTTGAAATCTCACCCTGTGAGATTCTCTGGCCCGTTGGCTGCAGCAGGAAAATCGTTCTAACTTTTCCCCTGGTCTGGATCAAAAGATGAACAAGTGACCTTTTTCTCTTTCCTCAGTGGCTGATGGACCAAAAAACCCCGATAAAGCAACAGCTCTTTGACACTGGGGAGGAGAGCAAAACCAGCTGTAAAAGGCATTTTAATGTGCAAATTCCTAAGTCTTCCATTGTTTGGGGCTCTCGGCATGGGTTCTGTCTCATCCAGTGAAACGCTCACGGTCTGTATGCTCAGTGGATAGCTCTAAAGTATCAAATACAATGTCAGTCATTTTAGTGTTTGTGCCAGTTAACTTGCAGGATGTGCCCACAGCTCTGCTCTCCATGAAAAGGTGGGTGACATCTAACGGCTTCCCAATCCTGGACTTTGTTGCTTCTACTGACACGCTGCTTTGGATGGTTTGCTAACGAACAGCGGTCATACATGGGACTTAGCAAAACAAATGCACTATGACATTTTCAGTATTTTTTTTCCTTCTTTTCCCCTTCCCTTCACATTTTGATCTCTTTTAAAGTAAGAACTGAAAATGCAATTCCCAGGCTATTAAAGAGACACATTTTACATTGTATTTAGCCCTTTTTTCCATCACTCTGTACCACGTTTGGGGCTAGCGGATCCAAGGTTTCCTATCTCTTGCACTGACAGTAGTTCTTTGATCCTGAAGAACAGCTAAGAGCTTCATAAACCAGAGCTAGACTCTCAGCTGGTGTTGCTCAGCTTTGCCCTACTGTAGTTTTTGGATGACCCTGGTTTACACTGCCCTCAAATCCCACAGCTGATTCTCCCCAGTTAGACCCTTGTGCCTTCCTACAACTGTGTTGTAGGAGTGCAGAGTAAGTCTGTGATTTCTTCTGGGTAGTTGTACAATAGGAAGCTGCAGCACAGCTGAGCTCTGCTTGTCTGGGCCAGGTGCTCTCAATAGAGACATACTGGCCTGAACTCTCTCTGGACACGATACAAATATATAGGTTTTTAGCTTCATGCCAGTCCTCCTGGCTATGCTTTGTTTGTCCCTATTTAGAAAACATGATGAATCAATCCAGCCGCCGTTTGCCTGGCATTTTTCACACCCAAACAAAGCTCACTGGGATGAAAGTTGAGCTGTTCAACAGCAGTCAGGGGAAGTGTATTTAATTTAACTCTAGGCTGTTTAGGAAAAGACCTTTTGATATTCTGTATCTCATTTCTCTAGGACTCGCTTTGAGTTCATTTGCTTGGTCTCATTATAGTCGCAGCAGGATCAAAGGCCTCCTGAGGAGACATCACCTAACTACTAATTTTTCATTTAGTGTCACAGGATACCTTGGGGCTTGAATGACTAATGTGTGTCTTCATTTGCCTTCTCCAAATAGAAACCATATGCGGTAGGAATGCTGCTCGGTACCTGACAAAAGGCAAGAGTGTTTAGAGCTTCTGTTGGATGAAGATACACCTGTCCCCTGTCTTTCCACATGGTACTTGTACTGTCCCCACATGTGTTATCCATGTCAGTGGGTGGCCAAGGGCTTTTCAGCAAAGCGTAAGTGCAAAGCACCTAGTCTACTCAAAGAACCTTGCCTGCCTGTCCTTAGACCAACACGGCCACAACCAAAGGACCTAATCATGCTCCTGGACCTATTCAGTACAGCAAACAGGTAGCCATCTTCCACACTAGAGCTTGGAGCACCTGCAAAAGGGGCAGCGATCATAGCTAGGTTGTGTCCCATCTGCATGGAGATGGGAGTCAGCTAGCCTGAGGTGACACAGTAAGTGAAGATACACGTTGCACTTAGACCATACTAAACCTGCGGCGTGTTAAGCGGTGTAGAAGTTAGAATGTTAGTCTCATGTTAAGAGTTAGTACTGTGTCTTGTTGTTAGAAGTGTGGTGAGTAGGGGCATGGCTAGGAGGCAGGATACCTGGAGTCTACCCCTGCTCTGGTTGAAGGTGGGGAGGTGTGGGGACTATTTGATGTCCTTTGACACGGATGTGCCGCTGGATCTGGGGGTCGCCAGCGGGCGGCAGCTGAATTCTCTACGTCCTCCAGATCCCTCGTGGGAGCCCAGAGATGGCCTAATGTTACGCCCCAGTGGGGGCAGGTCCAGCCTGGCCATCATTGCCATTGTGCAATGCTTTTCTGGCGGTGGGCGACCAGCGCCATGATGACAGCAACTAAAAGTTCAGGAGTGGGGTGTTGCATTGGCGTCCAGCGCTTGATGTTCTGCATGCGGTTTAAAAAAGGCTAAAAGCTTTAAAAAAGTTAAAAGCCTAAAACTGCAAGGGGGCTGCCACTGGGTAAGGCGACCAGTGCCTTAAAAACACCATTAAATTACGGGGGACAACAAAAGAGAAAACAGGGTGTGTTCGTGCAGGTCATAGGTTCAAAACTAGTGCTCCTCTGGGGTACACCGAGCAGAGCACCCCAGACAGCGCCCACCGGCTCGCAAACTGAGAGAGCTCGCTGGTGGCTACTGCCCAGTGGTACTCCGCCTGGAGACGCGCACAAAGGACACCGGGGAAAAACACCATGAGGTCACCGGGAGCCTTCCTGGCCAGAGCCTCCTTCCTGGATAGCCAGATGACAGGCTTGGCCAGAGCCAGGAGGAGGTTGACCAGTAGGTCCCGGGCCTTAGTGGGGCGACGGATGGGGTGTGCATAAACCAAAAGGTGAGGGGAGTAGTGCAGCCAGAACTTGAGGAGCAAGTTCTGGAGGAGGAGGTGCAGGGGCTGCAGGCTGGCACTCTCAATGGTAAGGTGCGCCAGAGTCTCCCTCTCAAAACAGAATGGGCACTGGTCGGAGACTGGTTTGAAATGGGCCAGCTGCACACCCATCGCGACGGCCCCGTGAAGGAGCCACCAGCCTAGGTCCCCGGTGGCTCTGGGGATCAGATCGGAATACAGGCTCTGCCACGGGGGCCTGTTGGCCTCACCCTCGCCAAAATAGTCCCGCCTGGCGGTGTCCTGGCGGGCCGCAAGGGCGGTGTGGTGGATCGTATGGTGGACGAGCGTGTATAGCTGGCGTCTGGGCCGTGGAAAAGCGGACTGGGCTAGTGTCCCCCAGTTTGGACGTGGTGTGCCGGGGAGTGCCCCAGGGCCTGCCGCGAGGTGGACCCGATAAGCAACTCCACTGGCTTGGGGGACTCGGGGGGTCGGGGACCACCCTCTCGCAGGACCCGCTCAATGTAGGCAAGGGTGTCTGCGGGCAGCGCAGCTTTCACCTCCCATACTAGGCATGAGCAAGTTGCATGCCCTATGGCCAAGCCCATGTGCCAGGCCAGCGCTGTGGGGCTCAGCCATCCTTGCTCGGTGTAGTCCAGGAGGTCTCTGATCCGGGTGATGCCCACCCAGTCCATCCTCAGGGAGACCTCGAGCGAACCCACCACCGAGACCGCCAGCAGTGGGTTGAAAAATAGCAGCTCGGTCAGCAGGTCACCATCGGGGGGACTGGGAGTGATGTATCCTGGGATGCTGGAGGACTGCAAACTACTGGTTTTGTCTCCATGGTGCAGACTGAAATGACCCTAATACAACCTGGGTAGCATGGCGTAGAGTTAACCCTCGCCTGAAGTGGTATAACTTTGAGATGCTCAAGAGGGCACAAGTTAATGAACTTTAACATGTGGACGCTCGCATTTTAAATGTCCTTAGTATGGTCAAAGTGTGCGGTGTAACTTCCCTCTAAATCCCTGGCCAGCTGGGAATAGAACCCAAAGGTCTAAGTCCCAGCTTCCACCTTAACTCATTTTATTGTTGCCGCTATCTCTTTTGAAACAAGTCTAGAGCTCTGTGCCAGCTTTAGCCTACCTTTTAGGGTAGGCAAGAGGACTTCAGGTTCCCAACTCACCAAGAGAATACCAAGAAAATTAAATTAATCACTTGAGTTTACTTGATGCACAAATAAAATATAGTGAAGAACTTGCGAATCAAACACACGTCCCAAATCCTTTAAAGCTTTGTCCTCAAAGACTTGGGTGAGGGGCCAAGTTCTTCCATGAGATGTACTTTTCTTGAATTACTACAGGCAAACTCCTTTTTTGAATCAATACTCTTGGCAACTTGGCATTCAAACGCAATTAAAGCGAGAATCACCAGCTGAGACAGATGTTGCATGATCCAGGTATCTCTTTTACCCTTAGATTTTGGAAAACCTCACTTGCTGCTTGCAATGGGTACAGGCAATGTTAACACATCCCTGAGTGCACTCGGAGACATTTGGAAATAAGGACAGGAGCTTATGTTTTCACAGACTCCAATGTGCTTTTTGGGCATGCTCCAGCTTCCAGTTGTCTGCCAAGATCCTAAAGTTTGTTGTGAAGAAACAGTGCATTTCTGCCAGCCTATTGATTAGAGTGGCTGTCTGAGGGGAAGCAGAGTGAGCTTCAGATCCATCCTTTGTCTGAAGAGGATCCAAACTCATGACTGATATCCCTAACAAGTCTGTGCCAGTGGTTTTCAACCTTTTTGAGACGTGAGGCACCCCTGGGTAGATTCAAGACACCCCTTGGAAAATGCCAGCTCTTAGCTTTCACTTATTTTTGACTACAGAAAAGTAACAGAGCCATTTTTCTGTTGCAAAGAGCTCAGAAAGACCACAACAGGATGGACTGTTTTCAACGCTGTGGGTTCCTATTTGAAATGTCTGGGTTTATCTTGTGAATCATGCTTGAAAACCTAATAGTGCTAACAGTGCATGGTACCCCACAGGATCTCAAGGCACCCTATGGTGCTGTGCCATCCTGGTTGAGAATCGCTGGTCTATGCAGAGCATGTGGACTCTGTCTGCCCCTCCTGGCAATGTCCTTGTGTGGAGAAAATAATTTAGGATTCACTGGGCCATCACCTTTTCTTCACAGTGTAACAGCTTCAGGAGAAGTGAATCTTGCATCCACACCCAAGTATGGACCCAAATAAGTCTATAAGTACAGACTTATAGAAAAGTAGGGCTAGAAGGGGCCTCAGAAAGTCACGTCTAGTCTAACACCCTGTTCAAGACAGGATTTTCTCTTTCTAAACAATCCTAGACAAGTGTTGGGCTAACCTGTTCTTGAAAATTGGAAACAAGTCTCATGCATAACTGCCAGGCAAAATGCCCAAACCATCAAAACTCCCTTTATCTTGCTACAGGTAAAGCAGGGGGACAAGGGCACCGTCAGCAGATAGAGAAGATAACAGAGGGAGCTTGTCTAGTTGGAAACGGAAAGAGAGGAGCAACTAGGAAAATGAAGGGGCTTTGCTGTGGGCTGGTGGTTTGAAGACCTGAATTTCTGGGTGCCTGATTTCACTAGTGTCGGTGTTTCACTACTGCCTGTTTTACAGTGGCTGCCTGGCTGGGTTTGTGCTTGCAGTTCTGTTGGTGGGGCTCGTCTAGCTGATGGAGGTAAGGGCGAGGTAGCTTTATAAAAGGCAGCCCTTGCAAATAGTGGGAGTTTGCCTGAAGTCTCCTGCGTTAGGTAATCTCCTGAGACGCAGGGATTTGAAGCCTTTCAGCTAGATGAGGGAGTACAGCCAGACTCTCCAACATCTGTGGTGGGTGCTCTGACCACTCAGTTACTGGATGAAAGTTGGGTCTCTTTAGTGAGTGCCA